ATAAACATACACAAGAGGAACTTTGTAACATATTTTAAAGAGATGTTCAAACAAGAAGAAGAAGAAGAAGAAGAAGAGGAAGAGGAAGAGGAAGAGGAAGAGGAAGGAGAAGGAGAAGGAGGAGAAGAGATGCTCTTTGTGTTAATACTAGACCCTTCTTTAAAGTGCTCTTTTTCTTCCCACCTAGATATTATTATTCCCAGAAATACACAAAAACATGTAATACTTACTTATATAAGGTCTTGTCTCCCTAACCAGACTATAACTTTTGGGAAAGCAGGGAATCTTTCTTTCTTTCCTTCCTTCCTTCCTTCTTTCCTATATTCCTTCCTTCCTTCCTTCCTTCCTTCCTTCCTTCCTTCCTTCCTTCCTTCCTTCCTTCCTTCCTTTATTTGTTCGTTCCTTCATAAACTCTACCCCCCAGTGTGGGGCTTAAACTCACGAACTCAACATCAAGACCCACATGCTCTACTGACTGAGTCAGCCAAGACATGCACCTGGACATGTTCCTTCTTTACTTTTTGGGGGTACATTTTCAGTCATCATACTACTTAGTGCAAAATACTTATCTGATTCTTCCACCAAACTTGTGAGCTAGCACGTAGACTGGTTCACAGTAGGAAACTAATAACTTTTCACTGAGACAAGGACCCAGGAGAAGGTTTAGTCAGGAGTCCCCCTCTCCCACATAGGATCAACCCACTGAGGACGAAGAGTCAGTTATATTGGGAGCCATATGCCCTCTCCTAAAGAATCCTCTGCCTCTACATATGCAACTTTATGAGGTTCTGAACCCCTCTTGGGTTCGTATTGTTTAGACTTGAGAGAGGCAGCCCAGGAGAATAAATATATAATATGACTATTATAATAACATTTATTATTTCAGTTAAAGGTTATTCTGGAGACTCTTCTTGAGTGCCTTCCATGGGCCAGGCACTGTGCTGGGTACTGGTAAGGATGTGAGAAAAGATGCAGAGAGAAATAATACATGAATGGCCCTAGTCCTAAGAAACAAATGATTCAGCAGGTTCTGGTTCATAGAGACAATCATATGCACAATGGCTATAATAATAGTTGTAGTTTACATTATTAAAAACTATTACAGGCACTCTTTTAAAAGCTTTAAGTGTGTGATCTAGCTTTATCTTCATAATAAAGCTCCGAGAGTTAAATATTCTCTTTATCCCCATTGGCCAGAGGAGGAAACTGAGACATAGAGAGGTTAAAGAATTTGCCCCAGATCGCAGAGCTATGAAAGTACACCCAACATTCAAACATGGGCAAAGCTGGCTCCAACACCTATGCTCTTATTTTCCCATTAATTAGGAAAATAATTTGAAAACAAAGATTAGTCTCTCTTCTACTCTGGTTTCCTTTGTGGTGTTTGCTGTTGTTGTTGTTTTTTGTTGGTTGGTTTGGGTTGTTGTTGTTTTGTTTTTTTCTTCTGCTCTGGCTTTATTTGTTTGTTTTTAAAGTTTATTTATTTGTTTTGAGGAGGAGAAAAGGCAGAGGGAGAGGGTACCAAGCAGGCTCTGTGCCATCAGTGCAGAGCCCTACATGAGGATCGATCTCATGAGCTGTGAGATCATGACCTGAGCTGAAATTAAGAGTCAGATACCCAACTGACTGAGCCACCCAGGCATCCCCACTTTTTTTGTTTTTAAAAATTTTAACGTTTTTAAAATTTATTTCTGGGGGCACCTGGGTGGCTTAGTCAGTTAAGCGTCTGACTTTTGCTTAGGTCATGATCTCGCGGTTCGTGGGTTCGAGCCCCGCGTCGAGCTCTGTGCTGACTGCCAGCTCAGAGCCTGGAGCCTGTTTCAGTCTGTGACTCCCTCTCTCTCTGACCCTCCCCTGCTCACGCTGTCTCTCTCTCTCCTAGAAATAAATAAAAATAAAAAAAATTTATTTCTGAGAGAGAGAGAGAGAGAGAGTGAGCAGGGGAGGGTCAGAGAGAGATGGAGATACAGAATCTGAAACAGCCTCCAGGCTCTGAGACAGCTGTTAGCACAGAGCCCGATGCAGAGCTTGAACCCATGAATGGTGAGATCATGACCTGAGCCGAAGTCGGATGCTTAACCGACTGAGCCACCCAGGCGCCCCCACCCCCACCTTTTTAAAGATTATATATATATATATATATTTTAAATATATTTTAATGTTTGTTTATTTTTGAGAGAGAGAGAGAGGGAGAGAGAGCACAAGCAGGGGAGGGACAGACAGAGAGGGAGACAGAAGATCTGAAGCAGGCTCTGTGCTAACAGCAGAGAGCCTGATGTGGGGCTCGAACTCACAAACTGTGAGATGATGAACTGACGAGCTGAAGTTGGATGTTTAATCAACTTACCCACTCAGGTGTTTCTAAGATTTTATTTTTTTAATAGTTTATTGTCAAGTTGGTTTCCATGTAACACCCCTAAGATTTTATTTTTAAGTAATCTCTACACTGAACATGGGGTTGGAACCCACAACCCCAAGGTCAAGAGTCATATAGTCTATCAACTGAGCTAGCCAAGTGCCCCTACCCTGGTTTCCTTTGCATCAGAAAATATTATGTCCTCTTTCCTCACCCTCTATGTCCAAATGAATAGTTATATCCATTTTTCTGAAGGGGAGCTTGAGATACTTCCAATGCTCTCACAGAATCATGTACTGCTGGACATGTCCTCTTTTTTGGCGTCCAAGAGAATCCCTTCACTTGTCTCAAGTGTGTCAGGGTCATTGGCGGTTTGAGAAGAATCAGGTTTTCTGGGAAGAACTTGGAGGTAGGAAGTCAAGAAGGCATTCTCAAAGCTGGGAGCTGGGAGCCAGGAAAGCATGGTTTTATTCAGCACCGTGGACAGGGCTCCTGGAGCTCTCAGGACCCTGGACAGAGAGGCTGGTCACGCCTGCCGAGGGAACAACACTCGTTTGAGAGCGGACCAAGCGAAACCAAACCGATAAACTCCTTTTCCCCTCTCTTCAGCCAGAGCTCAGTCACCTGCTCCTGAATCTTAAGAACAGAGGTACAGGGAGTGAATATATTTTAAAGGCGCTAGTAACGAGAGGAGATAAGAGGTGGGGAGGATTATATAAACAAAAATGGTTTTGGCTGATGTACTTGGAAGAACTCTGGAAGAACTAAATTAAGGTTCTCAGTCGGGAGTGGGACATTGCTAATGATATTTGTTAATGATATGTATTTTTTTAGGCTGAGTAGCGAAGGGCCACATTTGTCCTCTTTATCACCCAAAGTCCTATCCCCTATCCCGTACGCTCAAGTTTTCGTCTCTTGGAGAGCGCTCTCCATGTAGAAAAGAGAGAAAAATAATCTCTTCACAGTCTCTTGCTCTCCCCTCTTTCCCTTCCCTACCCCCACTCATTCCCTTTCTCTCTTTCTTAAATATACACGTGGGCGGGAGCGCGCGCGCACGCACACACACACACACACACACACACACACACACACAGGCTCAGGGTCAGAAGCGAGAGAGGTTCTACACACTTGGTGGAGAAGACTGAATTCAGAACAAGCGGATGCCCCCGAAAGCAGGCTCTGTCTCTTTAAATGGGTTGTAGCCGTGGGGGAGGGGAACTGGCCGGAGCTGGCATTGTCCAGTTTGAACTGAGCACCGGAAGTGAAGGGGCAGGGCCAGGGCCATGCACTGAGCCCCCGGCCATTGTCCATCTCCGACCAGGGCACTAGCCACCCCCCCCCGACCAACCTTCTTTATCTCCTAGAAGGGGAGGCTACCTCTTCAAGTAAGGAGATCGTCTACTCCAGTTCCCCCACCAACCCCACCGTAGGGAGGGAAGTGCACTTTAGTATGGGACCCTGAAAGGAGGAGGGTCTGGCTACCCAAGAGGACTGAAAGAAATGCCTCCACCCACTTACCCACTTAGTCCCTCTCCCAGCAACGGATAGGGATGGGATGGGGATGGGGACAGGGTGAGGGCAGCTGGAGGAGAGAGGGACACACTTCAAGCCTCTTTGGTTTTCTTCTGCTTTCCCAGGAAGCACCACGTGGAGTCAATTTTAGACACGAATTCGGAAAGAAAAAAGGAAGGGTTTGTTTTCTGTTGTTTTTTTTTTACACAGAATCGATTAGGAGCACTTTGAGAGATCTAAAATACAGTCGGAAACTCAGGGAGGCAGAGACATTCAATCAGAGACAGCGCCTTGAGAGGCAGCGCTGGAGGACTGGAGATCAGCCCGGCCGGGTCTCCAGCACCCCCCTTCCCCCCTTCCCCATCCCAGGCTTCCTAGTGTCCTGAACTCCAGGTCTATCTAAGCACACGGGGGTGGGGGGTGAGAGCGGGTCAGCGCCAAGCAGCCGGGTCAGCTCGGAGGCCTGAAGGGGAAGGGAGGGGGAGGGGCGCTCAAGAGCTGGGGGAGGGGGAGGGCTCATCCATTTCTCCCTTGACAGGTGGTTTGAGTCTCTGATTGGCCAGCGCTGCCAGGCTCACACCTCCCTCCCCCAACTCTCTGGAATGTATAATTATCTGCGCGGGGGGCGGGGGTGGTGTGTGAGTGTGTGTGGGAGCAGTCACATGGTTTTAAAACTACCCCCCCACAAGCCCCCCACCTGTATGCTGCTTTGGGGACCCCCACTAAGTCCTTAAAGTACAGGATCCCAAATTCCGGGGTACTCAAGACTTCTAGGGCTGACGACCCCCATCTCCAGATGTGTGTGTGGGGAGGGGGTGTCAAACCTCAAGGTTCTGAGAAGGGACACCCCAGAGGTGTCAGAGACCACAGCGATGGGGGAGGGCCGGAGCTGGAGCCAGAAGGAAAGGGAGGGGAAAGAAGAGGGAGGGGAGGGGAGGGGGCTGCCCGCGGGGGGTTGGGTCATTGTCTTTTAGAATTTGGGAGCCTTTGAAAAGCCGTGGGCCCTCCCACCGCTATTGTGCTGGGGAAGATGTAGCAGCCTCTTCTCCGAGCCACCCCTTTGCCTCCGGACTTCTCTGGGGCCAGCAGCCACCCGACCAGGGGCCCGGGGCCGCGGGCTCAGCCGACTACCATGGGCTCTGTGTCAAACCAGCAGTTTGCAGGTTCGAGCTCGGGACTTACTGGGGACACCTTAGGCTTCAGGGGCTCCCAGGAACCATATAAAAGGGAGGTGGGGAAATGTCCCCCAGCCTGGCCGAAGGACCCTAAGTCTGTGCGGCCTCCTGCTTCAGGGGCCATTTCTGGAGCAAGGAACCCTGGTGTCCCAGCGGCGTGCACGCCGAGGCTATGGGGGCGGCTGGACAGAAGAGGAGGGGCCTCTCTGGCCAGCTATCCCCGGGCAACATGTTGTGGGAAGAGGAGCAAAACTTTTGGGGCAACACTGGCTTCAGTGTAAGCTTGGGGAGCTCGGGAGGCGGCCAGGACAGATCTTTGCCTCGCCAGCTGCTTGGTAGCTTATAGCCACCTGGGCGCACACCCGTGGGCTGGATACTCGGGTCTCCCTGCTGGGTCTCGAGAGGGTCCTCCTGATTCCGTGGCCCCCCGCCCCAGCTGAGCGCCCTCCCAACCTCCAGGTGGCTGCGCCAAGGCGCCGGAGGAGGCGCCGGAGGACGCCGCCCGGGCAGCCGAGGAGCCGCAGCTGCTGCACGGTGCCGGCATCTGTAAGTGGTTCAACGTGCGCATGGGGTTTGGCTTCCTGTCCATGACTGCCCGCGCCGGGGTCGCGCTTGACCCCCCGGTGGATGTCTTTGTGCACCAGGTGAGACCGATTCTGGCAACTTTGCCGGGGGAAAGGGATGTTGGCGCGCATATTCAAGGTTGGGCGGATGGACTCAGCTGTTGGATTGAGGGAGACCGTGGGCTCTCATTGTGCGCTCCCATCTGTGTGGTGGCACCCCAGTTCCGAGTCCCCATTAATTCCAACGGGACGGGGGCGGGCAGAGCCGATTAACAGCACCCCCACCCCCTTCCCGGAACCCCTCTGGCTTACCACGTGTCTGTTACCTCTTTCCCCTGGGAAGGGGGCAGGGGGCAGGGAGGTGACCCCATGTGGCAGAAACTAAGGTTGTATTGTGCTTGCCGGTGGGGGGAGGGCGAGCAGGCGGGCCAGGGAAGCACATGCCGGTTCTGAGCAGGGCCCTGAGCGCCCAGCGTCTTTAACTAACATGTGAATGGAGCTCCCTGGCGGGAGAGAGGCAGGCAAACCACTCTAGAATCAAACGGGTAAAGCTGAGGAGTCAGCCGGGTTCCAGCACCCAGGTGGTCACCCAAAACTAAAGCCCTGGGGCCTGAGTGAGTTTTGGCAGATCCTTTAAGAATCTGTCTGGGGGCCTGAAACCTCTTCCAGAGTACCCATCTCTAGCACACAGTTCCCTACTGGGCTTTTGGCGTCCAGTTCTACCAGCAAGGAAAACCTAAACCTAAGGAGTCCAGGCCATAGATTCCTGGTCCAGGCTGGGAGGGAGTTAGGTCACAACCCCAAGTTCTCAGTTAAAGCAAGGCAGCTCAGTGGGGGTGAAATTCAGTGTCGCAGGGCAGGGGGTGGAGGGAGGTTAGCCTCTGGACCTATTCTCTGCTTGGCATTTATGGCCCCAGACAGCCATTGATTGTTGTCCTAACATTCCGGCCTCGAACAAGGAGCCAGAGACTCCAGGTTTCCCTCCTCCCTGGCTGCCTCTTCCTCTCACCCCCTCCTAAATATCTTAGAAGTGCTCAGTGGCCCTGGGATACCAGCCACTCGTAGCCACCATGTAAAGGAAGTTGCCGCGTGTGTCCCTTCCACCTTTGGAGGTTTCATGTTGGACCTGAGAAGGAGAAATTGATCATCTCGGGTCCAGTAGGTTGACACCCAGGCCGGGCAGGGAGGGGTTACTTCAGAGAGGTTGGCTTTAGGAGCCATGGGGGAGGGGAAAGGAGGATGTGGGGATTAAGGGTTGGAGCCTGAAGGATGGTATTCTGGAGGGGGAGGGGTGAAGAGGGGAGATCCTGGGTGGACTGGTCCTGGGCAGCGGGGAAGTCTCCCGAGCATGGCCTTCAACGAGGACACAGTTGGGGGGGAAACAAGGGAGATATGGGATGCAGGGAGCCACTTAATGTTGGTAACTTGGGGTCACTGGGCTACTGGGACATCTGGGAGGGCATGCAGCAGCTTAGCCACCTCCTTGCCTTGTCCTGGACCCCCCCTTCTCTTAACCACCCCCCCATCAGACAACTAGTTCTGGCTGGTGGCTTTGCTGCCCTCCCTGCCTCATTTACATATGTGAATGATAACCCACAGGAAGTAATTGTGGGAGAATGCAGGGAATTGGCCTCTTTAGATCTATTAAATCACTTTATTACAGGAACCAGCTTTGAATGGCCCTCCTCAGCGGGGTAGCCAGCTCGCCCACTCTCCCATTTATCTGATCACAAAGAGATTAAAATCTCCTGGTCTGGAGACGGACTGGACAGCTTCCCCAACTTTGGGAGGCTTGGAATAAAAGAGACCCCAAATTTTCTGGCCTCCCTTCCAAAGGCTGCTAAATAGGGTCTGGGAGGAATGTAGCCCCCTCATCATCTGGGTTTCCTGGGTGATCTCCAAATCCCAAGGAAGGGTTTCCTGAACAAATGAATCTGTGCCTCAGTCCACTTAACCTTAGAATCAAAAGCAATGGGAAAATATTGGATGGCCTAGAGGAAAGCAGGGACCTTTAGGTTTTGGGGAGTGGAGCCTGTACCATGCTCCTTCAGATGGGTTAGCTGGGAGATAACCTGGACTTAAGGGTCTTGGAATGTCCAGGGACATTCCACAGCTGAATAAGTTATCAAGAGGGAGTGGAGCTGGGATAAGGAATCAAGAATTTGTTTCCCTAACACCCTCCACCAACAGCCCTAGAAGACAATGACTGGAAATTCCCTGAGCCTATGGTGCATGCTGCTGGGGCTGGGGTTGATCCTTGAAACTCTATGGTAGCAGTTAGACTGGTGATTAGTCTCTGCACTTGAGGAATTTGAAATATCTCTTGGGGGCTCTCATGGAGAGGAATTAGTAGACGAAGGATGATCCCTAAAAATTATTCAAGGGAAGGAAAGTGTTCCCAACATGTGCGTGGGGGTAAGCACTCTCTAACAAGAAAACTTCCCCTCTGGCTGCTGGTGGTGGGTACCTCTGAGCCTGAGGGGGTGAGAAAGAGAATTGTCCTAAGATAAACATCTGCCTGGAGAGAGGATCAGGAAGCCCCTTTCTAAGAAAAGAGGAAGAAGCGGGGAAAGCAATTTAACATTTTCCTTTCCAAAGTTGGGCTTATTTTGGTTCCCAATACACTGTTTTTTCTCTCAAAATACATTATGCCCTCTCGGAGTTGATAAGTAGGAAAGAAAACTTGCCCTTCGCCTTAAAGGAAAAGAAAAAGGCAAAGAGATTTCTCTGAACAATTCTTTTTTTATTCAGACACAGATTTTCAGATCTAGAACTCTCTGCTTGTCCCTGGGGTTAGGTGAGTTTAAGAATCCTAATATTGGCTGACGGCCAGCCCTTTAACCGAGGTTTTTCAACCTCCACGCTGTTGACATATTCTGAGAAGGATAACTCTTTGTTCAGAGCATCCCTCGGTTGTGACAACAAAAAATGTCTTCAGACATTGCCAAATGCCCCCTCCCAGGCAAACTCCCCCTCAATTGAGAAATGCAGTTCTTTAGGGAACGTAGGTGCAAGAAAGCACTAAACTGTTTTCCTAAGATTCACTAAGAATTTTGAAATCTTAATAGCCATTTTAAGAGTTTGGGCTTAACTCATGTTTCCTGTGGTTCAACTCCCAAACCTCCAAGATTTGTAGAAATTTGAGAATAAGAAGAGTCCTCCCTGCTTACTTCTATAGCTGCTCAGAACCCAAATATGTTCAAAATGGCTTTCCAGCTAAAATACTGTATTGGAGGCCCTGGAGGCAAAAGAAGAACCCAAATCTGACCCAGGGACCAATTTGGGGTTAAGAGAAGAAATTTTTCAATCCTGAGAAACTGGAAACAGCTGAAGCCACGTGGCTTGCTTTTTCTGAAAAGGATGAGTGGGAGAGTGACCTCAGGCAGGGTCTGGATTAGGATTCTTGGGTGTGGGGTGGGGAGGGGAGAATGTAGAGGGAGCTTTCTTCCCACGTGGTTTATAACCTTACTGGTGCTTCTGATTACTCACCTTATGTCTAGTTAGTGATGTGCTGGTCTTATCTCCTCCTTTAGCCTGGAAGCTCTTTGAGGAAAGGGACTAGCTGTCTGGTTAGTTTCCTAGTACAGACTTGGTGGGCAGAAGGAACGATTATGAAGTAAGGAGCTCCTGAATCCAGGAGGACAAATTTGGGGTCCTTGTCAGTAGAGGCCTTCCTCCAGAGAGAAAGACTGGACATAATAAGGGAGGGAAGGTTCCTGCTCTTCCTCAGAACTGATGTCTACAATAGGGCTGGGCTCTTCATGCATCGTGAACTGGAGTGACCGTCAAAAGTACTGCGACCCATATAGGACCCTCTAGTTTTTTGCTTATGGACTGGAAGCCACAGGTTTGGTGGCCATTCATTAGTTTTTCATTTTCATCTTAATAGGAAAAAAATCAGATTAAAGTAAGTGAACCACTTTGATTTTTAGAAAGTTGGTAGACTTTGAGCATTATGGAATCTTCTTGGCTCCTTGTCTTTCTGAAGACCCATGCTTTCTAGACAGTGGCCCAAGTAAAGGCTGTGCCGCCATCCTGAGCAAGCATTCAGTAGGAGAAACTTGTAACCTTCTTAGCAGGTGACACTACTGTCCTACCCAATAAGTGGTTTTTAGTGACTTTCCCCAGGGCAAGGTTGTTTCTTTGAACATTCCTAATCTATCATGCTCACAACCCTACTAGAATTCCCTGCTATTTGGGGGAAACTGCTGTAGGCAAAACCTCCAGCCCTCCCTTCTTCCTGCAGGCATTGGTAACAATTACTATCTATATTAAGTCTGGGGTCAGGAGGTGTGGGGGAGGAAGAGGAAATTTTCAGGAACAGTATGAAATGTGTACAGACTCATTTTAAAGGACCTCAGCTTGGGCTTAAATTAATTCAGACAGGAAATCAAAATCCAAGAAGAGTTAAGTGGCTTTTGTAAACAGCAAAGAGCATAGGAGCAACTGGGTTTCTGACTTTAAAACTCCAGGACCCGTGAGTGCATGGGGACCTGGTGAGAAATCCGCTCCCAGTCCTTGAAAGTTCGGTCCTCTTAACTGCTTCTTGAGGAGTTGGGCAGATGAATCTCTGGTTCACAGTTGAGAACCTGGCAGCTCCCTCTCCACCGGCTGCCTCCGGCTATGCGGACGGCTGATGAGCAGCGCCATCTGGTGGAGAACTCCAGGCAGTAACGGGTCGTCCTGGCTGTGTCTGAGCAGAGGTATGGGTAGTCGGCTGGCAGCCTTTGGTTCTGGATGGATCTCTTTCCTCAACCCTCCCTGACAGATCATCAAATAAACTGCTTCTGGTAGAACCGGTTGGTTTCCTAGCCTCTACCAAGCCCTACCTTCAGGAATGAAGGCCAGATAGGACTATGGGGACACTTCAGGACTGAGTCATTTCTTTCACCTGCTTCCTTTACTTCTATGTGGCTATCAGAAAGTTTTAATATATATCTAATATATTTATTTATAAATGTATGATTTGCATTATACTACATAGCACTGGCTGTAGGGTCAGGCTAATAGCGATCAGCGCAGCTCTGCCTCTCACTGAATTTGGGGAACGCTTCTCTTTGTCCAAGACTTAAGCTGTAACATGATGTCCTAATGAGGCCTATCTGACAGGCTTGGTATGAGAGTTGAATGCATTACAACACGGAATGTGCTTCGAGCTCTCTCCTTAGCTTATAGTAAGCTTAGGTGAATATCAGCAGACTGGGATAGTGGAGAACTTGGTTTATTCCACAAATATTCGTGTACGGCTAGACACCTGGGTCTGAGTGGAGAGACCTGCACTAGACAGTCTGGAGCTGGAATGGGCCTGAGTGATGCAGAAAAACCAGGAATGCAAACTTTGGTCGCTGGGACCAAAGCCGGTTTCTCAAAACTCTACCTGCCACTTCTGTAGAAAGGAGTGATGTGACCAAAACCGGGCAGTGATGGAGCTGCTTATCATGAAGACTGATCTCCTGTTTTTGCAAATGATTAAATAACCAGCATGTGTCTGATTTTCATAGAGCAAGTTGTGGGAAGCTCGCGTCCCTGTGTGCCTTTCCCACCACCATGTTCCCAGAGTAACCCCTAAACTCCTTCGTATAAACAGCTGCTGAAGCTGGTGGCTGATGCTTGATGGAGTATCTGATAAGGGTAAGGGTGGTGGAGACTGTGGTGAGGTATTAGGGAAGCAGAAGTTCTAAGTATTTAACTGGCCTAAGCCCTTTCCTGCCATTCCCCCCCCCCTAAAAAAATACCTCCTTGCAACTGTTTGCTCTCTGATTAAATGCCACCCTCCCCTGCGCAGTGGGCTCCTTGTGGGCTGCCGTCCCTCCTGCCTGCAACGAATTGGGTCAGGAAGATAGCAAGGAAGCCTGCCTCCCCACCAACCTTTAAAATAATTTACCTGAATAAATGACCCCTGTTCAGGTTCCTGCATAAAGGATTTGACCAAAGGTGACAAAGAGGGGTTTCTGTGTAGTTCTAGCCCAGGAAGGTCGGGGAGAAGTGAGGATGGCTGCTGGCGGTGACTTTGGCAGACCCAGCAGGCTTGACTGGAAGAAATGTGTCTCTATCCATTTCTCTCAGTGACCATAACCCCATCGTGGAGAAGAAGGAACTGATGAATGTGGGGTAGGGGCAGTTGGGGGGCGGGGGAGCCAGGGAAGCTACAGCCTCAGGAACTCCAGGAATCTGACCACCAGAACCAACCAGTGTCAATTCTTTGTTTCCTGGGGCTGGGCTCTATTGGGGGAGCTCAAGCCTTGCCCCTCCTCCCATGGCCTTTTCTTTTTTGGAGGGGATGGGGAGAGGGGCGGGGCCCTGCTTTGTGTGTGGTTGGGGGTGGGGTGGGGGTGGCAGGAAGAATTTCAGGCTCCTTTCTGATGCTGGCCCTGTGAGGCCAGCTCAGTGGGGCTGCACAGTGATTACCTATCTGATAAGAGAGGAATTTAAACTATGTGTTGTAGAAAGGGGCGGGGTGGGGGGTCAGGGAGCCACCCCTGGAGACCACCAGTCTAAATCGTGGACTGGCTGCGGTAAGGTCCCTGCCGGGTTACGTTTTTAAATTTGAGAGTCTTAAATAAACCTCAGATTCTCCAGTGATGGAATGGGCGACCTGAGAGGACCAGTCAATTTCATACTCCCCCCCCCACCCCCCACTGGTATTCTCTTGTTCTCACAGTAAGGCTAGGAGGGGTAGATGGGTATAGAAACCCACCTGAGCTTCCACGGTTTTTATAAAAATCAGAGGTAAAATTTTGAGCCTCTTGACAGTTCTCACTGTTATCCTGCCCTGATCCAGTCTGAAGAGGTTGACGATAATTGCCACTCACTGAGGATTTATGTGTGGTAGGCTATGTGTTAACTACTCTTCATGCATAAAACCTCATAGGGCCACCATAAAATTAATACTTGCTCCACTTTATAGGTTAGCACAGAAAGGAGGAAACCGGCCTCAGACTCAAAACCCTTGTTAATCACTTAACTGCTGAATCACAGCTGGAACTAGTAGTGTCTCTCCCACCCACCCCCCGCCCCCCCCAGTCCACTAGGCTAATGGGAGGATCTGAGATTGTACCTCCTGACAACTGGTTTACCCCAGCTGAAAAGAGACAAGTCCTATCTACCTTCAAATCAAGGTCCTTTCTGTGCAACAGGAAAGTGGAAAGGACCCTTCACCTTTCTGTGTGTTTTTTAGTTCCTGCTTTAATGTTCGTTCCTTCCCTCATATCAATGTTGGGGGAGGGGAGAGGTCATCACGTTCCTGGCTGTTCCTGTGGGAATAAAAAGAAGAGAAAAGATATTCCTATGATGGAACTGGTAGACAAAAACTATAGATAATACATCAGATATTTGCTGAGCACATTCCTGATGTTTCCAGGCCCGCATAATCATCTTTAGAGGTTTAGATGGGTAACTTACTGTTCCCCCATTCTCTGAAGGATCCGAGGTCCAGATTTGATTAAGGTCATGCAGCCCCCGCAGTTGGTACAACCAGCATTTCATGAACTCTACAGTGTGTCTGGCACTCAACCCTATACTCTTTTAACCAATACTTTAACGGAATCTTTGTCTTAATGCCATGTAATTAAAACAATGTCCATGATTGAGAAATGAGCGGCTGGGTGTCTCACCTAAGTCCCAGTTTGAAATATTCCTCCTAACAACCTCCACTTGTGTAATATAATAGTGTTACTTATTCATGTTCCCTCAATCCAAGGCTAGGTGCACAGTGATCCCTTTTGCTCCTCTGATCCCTATTTTCTATGATGACACCTTGTTGACATTTGACACACTCTTTGGATATTTTACTCTAATGGAGTAAGCTATAATGAAGTCCGTTCTGGGGAGAAGCTCTCCCCTCCACTAATGCGTTGCTGTTGATGCATTAAGTGGTAAGATAGAATGGACTGTGAACTTTAAATCGGGAACCCTGGGTTCTTCTAACCTGGGTTTTGCCTCTCAACTAACTATGTGATGACTCCCTATTTTTTGGAAGGCTGCCAGACTCTCTGTGAGTGTCGATATTTTAAAATTTTGATATAAACATGTAGTGTTTTAATGGGGTTGTTCCAAACATTCTAGATCTTTTTTCCTTCACCAGTATTACCTGGTCATCTTCCAAGTCAGACAATTCAGATTTACCTCTTGGTTCATTAATTCATCCAAAGATGTATTAGGCATTATATTCTATGATTCCTTTTTTCTTACTGATTTTATAGTAGTTTTTTATAGTTTACCTGTCTTGACTTTTACAGATTGTTACATATTTTTTTAAAAACATTTTGATGTTCAATTCCTCTGGAGTGTAGTTTGCATACAAGTGATATAAAGTGTAGAGTTCTGGCCTGATATCCAAAGCAGGTAGCTAATTTTCTCAGCAGTATTGAACTGTTTCCCTCACCTGTTGATTTCCCTACATATGCTTGAATCTCCTAGTGGACTTTCCCTTATAAATTTGCTGATTCATCAGCTTTGATCATAACTGTCTTTTTCCTTTAACTTGCCAGTAACATTGTGTCTTCATCATAAGGTTACAGACATCAAGCACCTTTATCACTAAATATTTCAGTGTTTGTTTTCAAAACTAGGGTCATTGTCTTTCACAAACTCGGTATAAAGATCAAAATCCGGGAATTTAACATCGATATATTTCTCTTCATTCCCTATGTAAATTTTGTGAATTGTCCTAATATTCTTTTCCCTGTTCCAGGAGCACACATTGCACTTAATTGTTCAGTTTCTTTACTTCAGACTTCATCTTTGATGACCTTGACATTTTTAAAGCATACAAGGCTGTTAAGCTTCATATTTTACAATTACATATTTCTTGATTTCTTCCTTCTTTTCTTTTTTTAAACTGCACCCAGCATGGGGCTCGAAATCACAACCTGAGACAAAGAGTTGCATGCGCTCCACTCACTGATCCAGCCAGGCGCCACTATTTGTTGATTTCTTATAAATGTTAAGTTTAAGAATTTTCCATCAGTTCTGTTTTTGTTTAAATGAGAATAGCTACAAAAAAGTTATGGCATCTGTTTACCTATGATTATTTGTTAATGTAACATAGATTGCTTGTTCTTAATTGTGGCAGCTCTTTGAGTCAATAATGTCTTTACTGATAAATGGACATATTATCACACTATTCTTCATACCCTACAAGAATGCGTGTATGCGGTTTTTTGGTGTAAGAATGGAGACTAACATTAAAATCTACCATGTTTCCCTTCCCCAGAGCAAGCTGCACATGGAGGGCTTCCGGAGCCTGAAGGAGGGTGAGGCAGTGGAGTTCACCTTTAAGAAGTCAGCTAAGGGCTTGGAATCTATCCGGGTCACTGGCCCTGGTGGGGTGTTCTGTATCGGGAGCGAGAGGCGGCCCAAAGGGAAGAACATGCAGAAGCGCAGATCAAAGGGAGACAGGTACGGATTGGAAGGTGGCTGGAATAGGGAGAATTCTCCCAATGTAGCCCCTTTCTTGGGCCAGGATCCCAAAGACACAGTGAAGCCTACGGTTCCTGGGAACATGTGGGTGTTTGGCATTTCTGCCTTAGGATATGGGAGATGAGGAAAGGGCTGTGGGTGAGAAGGACACGTAATTATTTCAGAAGCAAAGGAGACCACAGGTGGGAAAGTGTAGGGGACAAGATGGTGTATGTACCTGTTGCTTCTTCACTAGGTCTTCAAGTGGCCAGTTTCTTTTGTCTTTGCTCCGAGCTGGAGCAGGGCATATAACCTCCTGACTCCTTTAATTTTCCCTATTTTTAGTGAAGGACTGGCATAGTTTCTTGAGGGTATGGTAGTGTCTTCCCTATCCCGTGAATTGCAGTTTCCGGGGGATGGGGGTCCATGACTTCCATCTTTGATCATTTCAGAATTTTCATGTGGGCATGAATCTGAAGATCCCATCTAGACAATTACAGTTTTGGGAAGAACTTAGAGGTTATCTAGTCATAGTCCTGGTCTTCGTTTTCTAAGTGGGGAAATTGGTTTCCAGGAAAGGGAGTGAGAACGGTAACTGACCAGAGCCCAGGTGTCCTCCCTCGGAGGAAGGCTTCTGCTCACTCCTTTCTCAACTTTACCATCCTGCTTTATACTAGGTGCTACAACTGTGGAGGTCTAGACCACCATGCCAAGGAATGCAAGCTGCCACCCCAGCCTAAGAAGTGCCACTTCTGTCAGAGCATCAGCCATATGGTGGCCTCGTGTCCACTGAAAGCCCAGCAGGCCCCCAGCTCCCAGGGAAAGCCAGCCTACTTTCGGGAGGAGGAGGAAGAAGAGATCCACAGCCCTGCCCTGCTCCCAGAGGCCCAGAATTGAGCTACAGTGGGTGGGGGCTATGCTTTTGTGATCAGGAAGTTTTGAGGAGCAGGCATCAATCGGCAGAGTGGAGAAAGTGGGGACAGGGTGGGTAGGGGACAGCTGGCCCTGCCATGTATCTCAGGCCGGGGTCCACAGCATCACCCCCTCTTCCTTCTTGGCAGGGTAGGGGGGAAGGGGTGAGGCCAATGAACTCCAACCATGCGCTATCCAAATGCTTGTGAGGGTTCTGGGGAAGATTCCTCCCCTTGTGCTTTATCTGAGGCTCCCCCCCCCAACCAGATCTCCAGCTTTTGAAAGTGGCCTGGATAGGGAAGTTGTTTTCCTTTCAAAGAAGGATATGTAATAATGCTTTTTCCCATGCCAGAATGTAAAAATCAAGCATGAGACCAAATTGACGGGCCCAACCCATGAAGCACGACTTTCCCTGGGAGGGACTCCCTCAGGGGTGAAGCAGGGATTTTTCCAAATCTCGTCTCCTACCTGACTCTTGGGATAGGGTGTCGAGAACCCTCCCCCGCAAAGGGATTGTTGGGGGAACAGCTGAAGAGCTGCTGTTCCTAAGCTGACTCACACTCCATTCTGGGCCGATAGAATTTTATTTATTTTCTCCCTCGGATGACCGCACCTTGGGCCCCACTTTCTCCAGGATGCCAACTGCACTAGCTGTGTGCGAATGACGTATCTTGTGCATTTTAACTTTTTTTTTCGTAATATAAATGTTCTGGTTTTGTACTTTTGTGTATTTTAATCTTAAGGCCCTCCTTCCTGCACTGTGTTCTTAGGTACACAAGCAATCTCAGGGATAAGTCGGCAGCAGCTCCAGGTCTGTACGGCAGGAATACTGTTTATCACCAGGGAGAACAACTATTTGGAGTGCATAGCCTATTTAACTACCTCATTTTTGCCAATTAGAACTGGCTTCTCTGCTGTAGTGTCCTCTTAAAACCCTTCCTTCCACCTTCAGTGTTCCATGGGAGATGAGGTTTTAACTTGGTTCTCCCATGCCTTGATCTCTTTCTACTGGAAGGTTGGAAATTGGTCCGAACAGGAAAAGGTGGTACAGGAAGGTTATAAGAGGCTGCACTGAGCCGAAAGGTGCAGAGTGAAAGCCAAGGTTAGGAGAGGGCTGTCTGTAAGTATAATAAAGGATTTCTGTTCCAGACTTCTAATCCCAGGGCACGGGACTCACTTTACATACCAGATCCTTCCTTCACTGGATTGGGCTAGGCCTACCATGCACAACAGGGTGTGTGTGAGTGTGAGTGTGTGTGTTTAAAAAAATGAGTTGGTAAGGATAGCTTTAAGAACAATACCTCTGTACCCATCTTGAGCCGCCCAGGGATGGGTGTATGAAGCAAAGGCTAAATTTCTTAACTTTTATAAATTCTGGGCTTTTCTTGTTGGCTTTCAGAGAGACCATATGCCACGGCTTTGTGGTGCCCAGAGCCAGTGTCCTGCCCTGCTTTAGCAGTGATTAGTGTCATGATAGTTAAAGGAGAAAAGAAGGTTTCGTTTACATGCTGTGAGATCACCACAAACCTACCTCACTGTGTTGAAACGGGGCAAATGCAATAGAACGCATTGGGTGATGTGTGTCTGATCCTGGGTTCTTGTCTCCTCCAATCGCTGCTCCCCCCCCCCCACTAATTATATCATATTTGTCTGGGTTTTGTAGGACGTCACGAATAGCTGATTGGGTGATTGCTAGGTGGCCTGGTTTGTGTAAATATAATGTGTTGGTCTTCTCCATGTTCTTTTGGGGTTTTATTGTTTACAAACTTCTTTTTGTATTGAGAAAAATAGCCAAAGCATCTTTGACAAAAGGTTCTGCACCAGGAGGAGAATCTGGAAGATAGCTTGGTGACCCCTCTTAGAGTATGGCGGTCTTGAACCATCCTTTCTTTTGTGTTTCCTTCCCCTCTTTCCTATTTTGGGCCAGATCTTCTATCCTAGAAATTTGACTCCTACCCTATCCCCTCTTTTATCCTCCCCCTCTTAAAAAAAAGTCCCCCACCACCTCCATACACCTTTCAATCCTGAAAAAGCTATAAACCCTCCATCCCTTGTTCCTAATATCCTGTGTCAAGACCATTCCTTGATGTGATTCATACCAATACACTTGTATTTGGATGGATCAACCCTACTTTAATCTCTAAGGGTAGAGAGAAGCAGAAGCAAGGAGGGGGGCCTTCCATGTAGAAATAGGGTCTGGAGACCAAGGAAGCAAAGATGAATGTATAATCCAAGTCACTCAGGAACTTTTATGCAGGTGCAAGAAGCTTATGTCAAAGTGGCCACAAGATTGTTTAATAGGAGACGAACGAATGTAACTCCATGTTTACTGCTAGAAACCAAAGCTTTGTGTGAAATCTTGAATTTATGGGGGTGGGATGGGGTAGGAAAGCTTGTACCTATCTGTTCTTTCCCTGATCCCTTCTCCTCCTTTCTGAACTGCAGGAGACTGAGCCCCCTTGGGCTTTAGTGACTCCAATCTCTGGGGGGTGTTTACGTGGTTGATTTTGCTGTGCCGGGTACTTCCTTTCCCACTTGCTGTTTTGTAACACACATGCTGACCCTTTTCCCTTCTCTTTTTACCCTGGGAAAATTCAATGAATAAATAAAACGTTATTGGTACTGAAACTGTGCTCTTGTTGGATATTTAGGGTGTTTTTCTACCATAAGTCCTACTTTCTTGGACTGGGACTCAGAAGTCACCGAAGAATCATTAAGTTTCCTGTTCAGCCATTTTGTTAGAAATGAATCTTGAAAATTCAGTCCTTTTAAAGAGCACCTCATTACAGTGGATTTTTGTTTCTAGTTAAGGCCTCTTGTCCTTTTCCTTGGAAGCTGCCACATTCAAGAGGGGATTAGGAGCTTGGCATGCATAAGAATGGGGTTGCCTGTGCCACTGGCTGGGATGAAAGGATGGGGCCATGGCTTGGGGCATGAGACCCTAATACTTTCTCCCCTGCTCCTCAAAGCCTTTTACAAATCTTAATTAATTAACCCCCTGTAGCACCCCAGGGAGGGGAATATGTGGAACTAGGGAAATTGAGGCCAGAGGAAGTAACACTGATTAGCTATACAAAAACGTTAACATTTTATTTGAGTGCAAGTGTGCTAGCCTTCTAATGAACATTGTATTTTAAAACATCTAGTTCCCCCACCCCCAAGGGAAGGATTTAAAAAGAAAAAAACTTGCTTGGAGGTATGCCGTTTATTACACAAAGTGCACAGAAACCGCAGAACAAGGCTATGAAATTACTTGTATCCACTCCAGAGACTTCAAGCCCAAAAGTCAAAGCTGACCATGGAAGCTTCTAAAAGCAAACTACTACAGGGCTTCAGTAAATGGTCTTCTGCAACACTGAAGTAATCAGCTAGGCTTGAAACTTAACTCCCAGGATGCAAAGTAGAAGGATGGAAAAGCTTAAGACTATTCATGGGAGGGTTACTCATCTCTAGGGCTTTCTTTGATCATGTGTGTTGAAAGTAACCCTTTCATCAGATACATGATGAACTGGGGGTTTCCAGTGCAGTAACTCTTCCTCGCCTTGTTCCCTGGATGAGACTACAAAGCGAGAAACTACAAGATTCCTTGGAGATTGTAAAGCTGGTTTTTTCCTGCTTTTTTAATTTCGAGAAAATTGAACTCAAGTTCCGTTAAGTGCTTCCAATTCCTGTAACAGTTTTCCTTAAAGGATTGGTACAGAGCTTAATGCCTTTGACTTTTCTATGGGGGGGGGGGTAATTGATGTCCTTTCAGTTATTTTATTAGTCATTCTTAGAGCAGAGCTCTTTCTGGTCTAAACTCCTTTTTGAGTAGGTCCCGAGAATCCGAAAATCCTAAAATATGAGGGCTTCAAACCAGCACAAAATGGGTGCATAGTAAGTGGGTCTGTGAAACTGACTAGAGCTAGGAATTTACCAAACGATTAAATCCACTAAATAAAACTGCAAACAGTTCATACAATTTGAAAGACTTGAACCAGGTCTCTAGGCTTTACGGCGAGCGAGACACCGCCCAAACTCATTTCTCAGCAGTCCCAAACTGCCACCGGCGGCTGCAACTGCCTTGCGCTTCTGCATGGCGATCTCCGAATTCTCGCTCTGGAGGGTGGCCCGCCCCAGGCCTCCCGCATCTGCGGTGGGATTACACACCTCTCCGCTGGCCGAAGCGATCTCGGCCCCGCCTTTCCCGGCCGGCTCCCCTAGCACGTGGCCCGGAACCCGCCGGCCCCACTCGGTCACGTGAGCGCGGCTCTTCCCTGCCCCGCCCCCGGCAGTGCGACTTTCGGCCGGAACGTTAGCGCCGCCCCTCCTCCAAACCCGCAGGCGCAGGGCGCGATCCCGCCCATTGGGCGGTGGGAGGGGGCGTGTTCCAGCGCCGGACGATGACCTATTCTTCCAGCGCCACGTCGTGAGGAAGTGTCGATCCGCTGGAGCAGTTGGAAGGTTCCGGGCGGAGCGGAGCCGGTTGCTGGGTTTGAGCGGTGAGCGAGAGGCGAGCGAGGACTGGGCGGGGAGGCGGCTGTGGGAGAAACAAAGGGGATAGCGGAAGAGATGAGTGAGGGGATGATAATTGGGAGACCTCTGAGGTTGGAGGTGGCGCGTGCGGCGCCTGAAGGGTTGGTGTGTTGGAACGCGGGATGAGAAACGGTCCCTCGGAGGATGGAGAAGGAGGAAGCGGGGAAGGATCAGGATGCAGGCCCTGTGTTGTGGCCGGAGGACGACTTGGACGTCCAGGAAAAGTCGGGGCATTTGCCAAGGAAAAGGGGACGGCAGCAACGACACCAAGCCAGAACTAGGGAAAGGCCTCTACCCCAAAGGTCTCGTTCGCTCTAAACTCAGGGTGGTGATGAGTTATCGACGTAGGCAGGTGTCTTTGGATCCTAATGCTGGCTACTCCCCACAGACAGCTGAAGCTGTTTGCAAACCCTGGTGATTTACTCTCTTTCTTGTTTATCCAAGGTTACCCGGCGGGTGTCTTCTTGTTC